TTTTCGAGGTTGCATGATTAGAAATCACATTTCGACTGTCACTTTCATAACCTGGTAAGCGACGCATTGATTGGTCGGATGAAAGGTCGTTCTGACGTGACCCTTAATGGGATGTCTTCAGATCTTTGTTTAGCGGTAGCGAGAACTAAGGTCTGATTTTAATGAGATTGCAACAGTGTTTGATGGAGGTTACAACATTCAAGGACTAAGTAAAGCTTTCAAAGAGTGGAGAACATTTCCAATTTTGACGCATCAGTAACAAAAATATGTCCGATGCAATTCCCCATTTGGGCTTGTACCAAACGTCCCCGTGGTTTTTGTGTGAGGTGGACAATTCCCTTATTTTCATGATAAATATAGTGTTTTAGCAAGGTAAATATCACGTTTTAGGGATACACATATACTTTTTTTATACCTAACATATATGTGATATTTACGACACAGAAACACACCAGGGTAATAGCAGATACTGTCTTTCTTAAGATATGGGACTCATAAACTAACTGAAGTAGTTTTAGAAATAGTGTAACGGTACAATATTTGCGTGAACCGCTCAATTTATCATACAGTGTCAAATGACTTGCAGCTGTGGTTATCTACTGAGACACGACACATTGGGGGACAAGTAGAGAATGAAGGCACTGCGTCGATGTATGCTAGGCAACCTCGTTCGCATTTTTATAGGGTCGAGATGCCAAGTTTATCGGATTGGTCGCATCAATGACGCTGGCAATACTGGATAAAATACGGTATCACGCAGATAGTTGCCATTCATGCTGCTGCAACGACAGTGAGATTGACTAGTCCTGTGCTGGTTTTTGACCCACTGAGCAACAATTCGGGCACTTGACCCACATGGTGAAAGGGAGTTATTCTGTCAGATACGTACGACATGAGTCAGCAACGCCAACCCAACAAAGAATACATCAGGGATTTAATCTAATACGGCAAGCAAACAACATCCATTATTTTACTTGTATATGCACGAACCGAACCACCAACATTGAATGTTGAAGCTGTAATATCTTCATGGTCTCTTTAAAGTCATATCTTTTGTAACTCTATCCTTACGTGCTCTCCCAGTCGTTCTCATTGATCTTAAATCACTATATTACAGACGATCACTTTACTTCGGCAATCACAATGAGTGTCTGGTTGTCTCTGGTCTGTGATGTAGTGCCGTGGCTGGACAGTGTAACTGTGTGCTTGAATGTATCCACTATTCATTTAATGTCGGGGACACGAGTAGCAATTCAGCTGTGTTGGGAACGTTTGGCACGGGTTCGATTCTCAGTTTCAAAGCTCTTATTATCCTTGGTTTGTGATAAAACGACAAAACCCCTTCGGTATCCAATAGAAATCTCTGCAAAACGCAGAGTCGATAGAACGATTCCGACTATTTCATAAGCATGCGTTTATAAATCACTATCAAATAGTAATTTAAATTAAATCAGGTGCTGAAAAGGTGAGCGTATCCTGCCCCTTCGGTGGCATCCGTTACAAACACATGCAAAGGCAAGTCAATTGTTCACCTGAAAAAAACGGGAACAAGTTAAAATAGGGAATTGCATCGGTCATAATTTTTGTCACTGGTGCATCATATTGAGTAATATCCTCCACATGTCTACCATTAAACTTTGTGAAAGCTATACTGAGGCCTTGGATGTTGTAACCGACATCAAACAACTTCAGAGCATGAGCCATATGACGCTCTGGGTAGAAGTCTGGGTAGAAAGAGCACCTTGTTTGCAGGGCGATCAACGTCCCTGGCTCGCGTCACTCTCGCCGCTCCTGCAACATGAGTGAGTGAGTTGGGTTTAGCGCCGCTTTTAACATTATTCCAGTTATATCACGGCGTGTCAGCTTAATGTGGGAGGAAAGCCCGAAGTGATGCAGGTCTCAGACGTTCACCTCTTCGGTGAAACCCACGAGCACGGGTATGGTGCTGACAAACCTAGAAACATAATCGGGGCAAACCGGGATTCGAACCCACAATCATAGGTTTCTGGCGTGCCCAAGGGACGCAACTCTGCACAGCGAATCGCGGCGCCTTAGACGACTGGGCCACCCGTGCCCCCTCCTGCAACATGAATCCGCCGTGATAAAACTGAAAGTGCCTTCTATGATATTTTGGATGTTTAAAAGAAGTGTTGTTTTGACAGCGTTGAAACCCAGTTCCACTGGACTGGTCTTTATCAGATGGGATTTTTAAAAGACAAACACCTCTTCTCGATAATAGTGTCTCAGGTTTTACGAAACATAAATCGTTCACTGGCAATTCTGGATGTTTTTATTGTAATGTGTGATTGTAATTGACTTCCTGAAAAAAATTTTATTGTCGTGAAGCACACAAAAAATATGATTTTATGATTCAAATAAAAATCAAGGATCACGGTAAGCGCGAGCGACATTGGTAATGAAGTTAAAAGCCAAGCACTAATTGAATCAGTGTCAACATGATTTTGTAGCCCTCTGTAACATCTGGTGAACTAACCATTGCTTTTAACTGATCTGATGTTCAATGTATATTTAGGTCAACCATTTGTCACACGGACCAGTTCTCACCTGTAGCCTTGTTCTCTATCGAACGTTGAAGTGAGTTATAAGGTCACGGACAGTGTGTCAAAATGAAAACAATTGCAAACTAATTCTCTGATATATTAGACGCCAAACACGTACGTACACAGAGAACTTTGAACTGATGAAATACATCAAAGAGAGAAGTACGCACAGCCCCACGCCTCTATTTCTCAATCAGTCTCTCTGTTGTACTTTCTTACCTGCTAACACGTGTGTTCCATTTGTCACTAACTATTATTATTTGTCATACCATGCATGGAGTTTAAAGAAGCTCCACACTCTCTTGCCTCTTACTTTCAAGGAAGTTTATGAAACTTATGTGATATAAAAGGAATTGATTTTTAACATGGGTTTGGAGGTGTGTGGGTTATATGGATAGGTGAGTTTGGTGGGGTAGGTAAAGTCGGTGGGTCGGTTGGCCGGGGTGTGTCGGATACGTGGGTAGGTTAGCATTGGGGATAGGTGTCTAGGTTGGCAGGTGATTTGGTGGGAAGGTTGGCCGGGGTATATCGGGTAGGTTTGTTTGTTTGTTGTTTAACGCCGCACTCAGCAATATTCACGCTATATGACGGCGGTCTGTAAATAATCGAGTATGGACCAGACAGTCCAGTGATTGACATCATGAGCATCGATCCATGCAATTGGGATACGATGACATGCATCAAGCAAGTCGGCGACACTGACCACCCGATCCCGTTAGTCGCCTCTTACGACAAGCAAAGTCGCCTCTTGCAACATACATGGGTTGCTGAAGACCTATTCTACCCGGATCTTCACAGGTGTGGTCACTGATGCGTTATATTTGGAAATATCCTCCCAATGTCTATCATAAAACGTTTTGAAATCTTTACTGAGGCAAACGAATCCAACAAAGAAAGGTGACGTGGTGGTTGGCTACAATTCTGACTGACAAGCTCCAGGCACTATCCGGGTGCTGCGTCCCTCGGGGTAAAGAAGTATTGTTTTATACATATGTGTTTTCAACGGTGCCAGCTCAGAGTACGACAAGAGTGAGTTGCTGAAGACCTATTCCACCCTGGATCTTCACGGGTATATCGGGTATGTGGGTAGATGGGATAGGGGAGACACATGAAGTAGTAACAACAACTCATACAGCATTGTATATAAGCGTAACCATGACCATTGGAACGTAAAAGGGCTATACCCACATTACACATTTCAAACCCAAGATGAATGCATGCTAAAGTCACAGGTCAATAATCTACTTTGCACCAAGGCGATTTACCAGCAATAACGTAAAGTGTCCCCCGTAATGTGGAGCTGGAAACACCTATAAATGGATTTCCTGGGAACACAGAAAGTGATGCTATTCACACAGCATGATCAGTGTGTGAAGCGGGAGGGGGAAGGAACAGGGTGAAAAGATTATTCACTCTAGATACCAAGTTATCGCTGAATCCATGGCTTAGGATAATCATACTCGAACCTCTGCCACATGAAGGGAAACCACTGGGGACTATATGAAAGTGGGCTGAAGATTGACCGATGAATTTCAATTTCTTATATTCATTCACTGCGATGATTTGGTACATTTGTTAAGGTTCAACTCATGCAAAAATTGATCAGCAAGAGTGTAAAAGCTCGCTATGTCAATAAGGTGAGGTGAGGTGAAATGGGGTTTAACGTCGCGTCCAAGATTATTGCACTTATATAGCGACGTGCATGCACTTGTATTAGTCCGGACTAATGCCGATTTATAGTGCTTGCCCACTGAGATACCATGCCGCGGTCATGTCCCATTAGTCATACGCCCATTTGTCATACTCCCAATAGTTATACAGCAAAAGAGGGATTAGTTTAAACAACAATAGGCATATACCCTTCGGTCAAAATGGATTAGTCCACTAATTAGAAAGCTTGGGATTAGTTTAAATAAATACCTATGATGTTTTAGGAACAAGTACAGGATCCATCTCAAACTAATTTACTGTTCTTTACTGAGTTAAATCGAGTTTACTCAATTTAGTACATAAAAGTGTCTATGTTTTAGACTCTAGCATATCACTCTTGTTATCATGGCAGGATTGATTGAAGTGGAATATGTTACTTCTAGGCGAGGTACACAGCAGGTACTGTTTCAAGGTCACCTTCACAACAAGAACTCTACAAAGGAACACTGTATCCACTGGAAGTGTGTCGTGAAAACTTGCCGTGTAAGAGTTACACCACTCCTGATAACCACGGCCCACAAGAACCTGACACTGTTAGATTTGTCAGTAACATGAGGAAGAGGGCCAGAGAAGAGATCACCCCGATGCCAACCTTGTACCAGGAAGCAGTTGCCCAACAATATGCTGAAGTAGTACCAAGAAGATCCTGGGGTCAGACGCTGGGTCAGAAGAGCATCATCCCTGGCTCTGTTACCGGAAGCTGACGTCCAAGATGCCTTGGTCGACGCCATGGACGATACGCCAGCACTAGACAACGCTCAGAGATTTAATGATTATATTGTAACAACTTGGGTTGGTGATGATGCTAGATTCCCCATCCCTCTATGGAATCACCACCGAAACATTGGACCTCGCACGAACAATAATCTGGAAGGCTTCCACTACCGACTTAACAAGTCTCTGCCACATCATCATCCAAACATTTATCGTTTTGTTAAACTGATCAAGCAGATTGAGAAGTCTGACTCTGCCAAGATGCGTCAAATTGACTTTGGTACTGCTCCCCAAGGCAGAAAGCGAGTATATCGCGAGAAGGAAAACCGACTCATCAGATTGTGGGACCAACTCCAAGTAGGCCAGAAAAACTGTGTTCAGTTTCTGGATGCTGCTGGTTATCTGTATCCAACTGACCACTAAATGTGAAACTGCAAACTCAAAATGTTAATATGTGATCCCGCGTTAATGATAATTTAACTTACAGTGTGATTATTACTTAATGTGATTATTTATGTATATATGTCATATAAGATTATAGGTCATTGATGATGATATGTGCTATGATGAATATATATGCTATGCTGAGGAGTATTAAAAGATTATTAAATGTTGTAATTTTGTGTTTCTGTGGTTCATTCCACTTGAATTGTGGGTATTACAAAGGAAGTTGCTGGTGCAGTCAACCATACCATATGTTGTTTTAACCCGTATGACTAATGGGCCGTATGACTAATGGGCCGTATGACTAATGGGAGGACACCCATGCCGCAGTTTAACATGAATACCTCAGTCAGACAGTAAACTGACTCCAAGCCGACCAGTCCTTGTTTTAGTTCCTTAATACCGAGCGCCAGACAGGGTAACAACAAGTATCATCTTTTAATGTCTTTTGGTATGACGCGGCCGGGTATCAAAGATCAGTATAAGCACTGAGTTTGTGTGTGTGTGTGTGTGTGTGTGTGTGTGTGTGTGTGTGTGTGTGTGTGTGTGAGTGAGAGACAGAGAGAGAGTGTGTGTGTCTGTGTGTCTGTGTGTGTGTGTGTATCTCAGTGAGCGAGCACTATAAATCGGCATCAGTCTGGACTAGTACAAGCAGACAAACACGCACGTGCATGCACGTCGCTATATAAGCGCAATAATCTTGGACGAGACGTTAAACCCAATTTCACCTCACCTCTCTGCTGTGATAGTGCCATGTCACTGAAAGAAATGTATACCTTTACTTAGCTGTAAGTCACGTCTTTGAAAGGGTTAACAATTGTAAATATGACATTTACAACACTGAATATACATTTACATATACATGTATTTAAATCTTAATATACACCTACATTTATGCAAAGGACAAGATATATTTAGGAGCATCCTTGGCTCGTGGATTATGCATGTTTTTCATAAATGAGAAAAAAAAGATTATCATGACTTTTAACAGGCGTGCTCCGAATTAGAACTTTGTTTTATCCATTCCTTGCAGGTTTGGACTCTAACAACACTAAATGCACACAGAAAAGTCTAAAATGTGTAAAAATGATAATTTTACAGGTTTCAGAGAGCGTTCTTCCAAAATTCGAACATGACCTAGTCTTTCACCCAAGCTAACTGTGGATTAAAAAATGCGGCAAAAAGTTCATCATGGATACCTGAGTTTTCTGGAACTTTAAAACTGTTTATATAATTTCAATCACACAAAACTGGGCTCTTATGTATAATGCATATTATTTTACTTTGGTGTATTTCACCTTACACGTCGTAATATAAATGTGGGGGAATTTCTGGCTGTAATGTTGTTAATGAGTTACAGAATACGGTTGTCACTCAGTCCGTCTGTATCTGAGGATGCACTTACTGTCAGTGTTCCCGTTTACCGGTAATTACCAGTTTTGTACCGGTAAAATTAGGCTTGAGTCGGTAATTTGTGTGCCAGCCAAATAAAGTGCCATATAAATCTTTTTTGGTGAACAAAACGTCGGCGATAATCAGTAAAGTATATTTTTCGCACATGTCAGCTTGTCTTTTAACATCAGGGTTTCCCGTTGTCCTTTTTTTAGTGCAAGGCAATAAAATTTCGCTTTGCATCGAGGTTAAATATTTATTTTTAGCGACTTAGTCTCGAACCAAAGTGAAATATTCCGGGGGAATGAAAAATTTCACCGAACTTTGTGTGAATGACGTGTAGACCCTACTTCAGAGATGACGTCATTTACATTGTCAGCCGTGAACGTACACTGCATTGGTAATGAAGTTGAAATATTTGGAAACCAGGTAACTTTCATGTCTTCTTATTTGTTCAAAGTTGGGAATGACAGTTTCGAAAGGCAGGGGGAACACTGACTTAGTCTGTATAAACTAACGTTATAATAATAACGTTAGCGTTACATAGATAACGCTAACTAAGTCTACATTAAACATGTCTCGGTACATTTGACGTGGAGGTGGAAACATGCACAGTGCTACTGCGTGGTAGTGTATCAGCCTTCACAGCCCTTCATTACCCAATGTATATTATTGAGGTGAGACTATAATAAATAATCTCTCAATCGGTCTTCATTAAGATGGCTGAACAAAACCCAATAGGATGACTGACGATAAACTTGGGTACGAGGTGGGTGAGTGGGTGAGTTGGACTTCACGGGGAATTCAATAGTGGTTCAGCGTGGTAGGAAAACCCAATGAAACAACGGCTGTAGAACCACAAGTGCTAGAGACGCAGCAAGGATTTTGAAAACGGGGGATGCACATAATACATAAGCACTTCACACACAGAGAGAGGGTCACAGAGAGAGAGAGACACACAGAAGGACATAGACACACACTCACGCATTCTCTCTCTCTCACACACACACACACACACACACACACACACACACACACACACACACACACACACACACACAAACGCAGTGTTTATACTGATCTTCGGGGATCTTTTCTGCTATATAACCCGCAACATACACATTATAGTCAATCTGATTCTTTGAGGTGAATACTTACAATTCGGGTGATTTTCCGATTCAGTGGGATAAGCAATTTTTTAGAAACAAATTGCGTCTCTTTAGACCACAAGTTCTTCAGAGTTCCGTTCGGGTAGAGGGCAAGATAAAAAAAATCGAATTTCTTCGCGACCTTGGTATCCTTTGATTTGACTGAACATATGCACACGATGTTCGGGATGACGAACGTTTATCGTATGACGGTTGTCTACCGTTAAATGTATTTGTGGTCGTAACTCGCAGAATTATAGCAGAATGATTCGATTGGTCGGTTTGTGGGTGGTAATTGTTTATTTACAAATATTGAGATTTACGGTTCACGGTTCATTTGTGATGAGAAAGGTGATGAGAGGTGTGTGAGTGATTCAGTTGTTTAACCACGGTTATTTACTTTGCGATGCGGTTTCCCTTAGGGAATAATATGGATTTGCACTCCTTAAAGTGAGTGAGTAGATGTTGTTTAACGCCACATGCTGCACAAACTACACATTCAGCAATAGTCCACCTATATGACGGTGGTCTGTTATTAATCGAGCCTTGGTCAGACACGTCAGAGGTTGGTATTGTCAGCGACGTCCACACACACACACACACACTCTCTCTCTCTCTCTCTCTCTCTCTCTCTCTCTCTCTCTCTCTCTCTCTCTCTCTCTCTCTCTCTCTCTCTCACACACACACACACACACACACACACACACACCACATACACATACTACACACTCACACACTAAACGCTCACACACACTACACACACATACACAGCGTTTACGGTTTACACTTAAGATGGCCTAAATTAGTACTGGAATCGACTGAGGACCAATAATCCATCGGATCAAGCATTGATGCCTTGAAGTAACGTACACTTTGGATATAAAAAAAGTATTTTGCAAAAAAATACATTTTAGAACTGGATATTTCTTCGGTTATTATCAAAATCTAATTAAATCAATGACGTTTTTCTGTAATACGATTTTATTGAGGCCATATATATTTTTTTTATTTGGTTTAGGTCTGTGCAGACCATAAAAATCATAATATTTTAGAAATAATACAATAAAAATGACAAAGATTATTTTATACCACCGACAGCAAAAGATCGATTTGACAATAAATAGAATCCAAAGGAATTTCCACACGTCTAAAACAAATTTTGTTCAAGCGATAATTCGTCATTACAAGTCAGATTTTAAAAATATAATATTTAATACCAAACAAGACTAATGTTTATGTATCACCTGTCGATCGAAATCAAAATATGAGAAGATTTTAAAATCATGTTAAAGCATTTTGTTTTTTCTGGGGTTTTTTCGACTTCCTGACCTATCAAAATCCGTAAACAAATAAAAAGTGTGGCCTGATGTAAGTGAAGTGTGTCAGCCTGGAAAAGACACTGCTGGACTCGAGGCAGCCGCAGAGACTCGGTAGGAATAACCCTGTGGCATTTGTTATTCGAATATCAATTCTCGACTAAATTGTAATCTAAGATTAAAGTAATGAAGGCTTTCTTTCGATCTGCAGGCCTTTCTCCGTTACTCTATTATTCCTGGAAAATACTATGCGAACATCTGAAAAGACATAAAAGGATAGTATTCGTGACTGTGGTTTTGTTCTCTTTTAAGTTCTTGGAACCACGTCAACACCAGGGGGCGCTGCTTAAAATAAAGGCTATATATAACAACGGACAGACCATTTGATATTCTGGAAGGGATGGGGGGGGGGGGGGGGGGGGGGGTGTTTGGTTTTGAGATTAGATACTTTTTCAGCTGCAGCTGCTAAACCCGGTTTATGTTTATTTAGAACTAAGTGCCTGATTTATGTTTTTCAGATAAAAACCTTGCAGCAATGTAATTTTGGTGTCAGTCAAATTCTTTTTTTAGACAATGTATTGTTTTCCCCATTAAAATGGTCGGTGCCTTACATGAAATAGACTGCCGTTATCTTGTGTCGGGTGAATCAGCTTAAAGTCGCGTCAGTCAAAATGTTAGTGTGAGAAGTTCAGTTAAACATCTTAACAAAATCTCTTCATCAATTCATCGGTACAGTAGAGGACGGGCGGGTACCCAATCGTCTGTTTCATCGCAATAAACCTGTGTTTGGGTCTGTTTGAAGTGGGTTTGAAACAATCTGTTAACATCATATCCGTGTTCGTTGTTTTCACTATACCCCAATAACCTGGCACGCCGTGATATAACTGGTCCAAACGGCGTTGGACCCCAGTCACTCACTCATTCACATACTTAAGAAATACACGACTCGTGGACGTTGTTTATCGTACAATAATACACTGCAGGGAAGGGGCGCAGCTCCGAATGGTTTTTGTCTCCCTGCAGTGTTTTATTGTACGATAAACAACGACCACGAGTCGTTTATTTATTATATGAGATATCAACATTATCATCTTTAAGGATCTTGATAATATGTACAAGCTTT